AAAAAAGTGTAGGATTGTGTGTTCACATGTGTGTTGTTATGAACCCCCCCAACAGAAAGCAATGTCCATATATTATAAAGGCTGCAATGATGTTTTGTTCTAGTTACTGGCTAATAAGACTCCACTGTCTTCTATTAGACTGCAAATGAGGTCTTGAGTGTTGCTCTGTTCCCCCTTTCTTGCTGCAAAGAGACAGCGTAGCCTTAGCCCTCCCTCCCAGGTGTTATTATTGCTCAGCAAATAGCTATTCATGGAAATTACCTATCATTCTGATACATTACCATTAAAGATGGAGAGATGGAGAGGGGAAACAATATATTGGCAGACAAGGATGACTTGTGTGCTATCCTGTCAAAGCTATAAGGAAACAGGCATTAAGAGATTCAGTCACTCGGCTGCTATTTAGCCCCTTGACACATCAGCCATTCTTGTGTGTCTCCTCTTTCAGACGTAGCATTCAGTTGGCTGAGATGAGTGCTGTGTCTCTCTAGTGTTTGCTAATGTCCACTGCCATGTGCTACTGCATTTTAAAGATGAGGGAGTGCTGAGAGGGAAAGCAAGATTTTTATTTTTTTTTCTTGTGGACAAACAATTTCTATGGAAATTTCAGAAGTAAATGCAGTCTTTGTCAAACCTGTCTTTCACTTAGCAAGAGAAAAACCAACAGGTTTGCTCTTTCGGGGGAAGTTCAAAAACCTGTTTTTCTATATATGGGTAATACAGGCTGTGCTGCCCCATGAGTAAAAATCTACTCTAATGTAGCTGACCTGGAAGGATGCAGCTGGTGCAGAGTCTTACAAATTGTCTTACATATAAGTGGTCTTACTGATTTTAGATAAGTTAATTTTTCATAAAGCCATATTACCCAAGATTTTAAAATTTAAAGTTCTTACATGGAAACTCATTATTTTCCCCTGAAATTCTTCATGGAGAGACACAGGTCAGATCTAAATGAAAAGTGTGATGTTTCAAACAAGATAACTGCCTTCTTCCCTCTTCTTTACTGCATGTGCATTTTAAAGAACCAAAAGTCACAGAAGCAGGAGATAAGCAAAACCTTTTCTATTAACATACTTCCCATGAAAGCTGAGGTGCTGTGGATGCATATGGGCTGTGAACAGATATATATTCACAAAATCTTACCTTATTATGTATCTTACAGTCTATGGGCAAACCGATGGTTCCTTACTGTGAAGATGAAGTGACTTGTTACTACATTTAAACTCTTGGAGGATGATTATCATAGGAAAATAGTCTATCTAATTCAAAATATAGTACTAGGACCGTGAGTACATCAACAGGCTGCCCTGAGCAGCCTCCAGTGGGACTTCTACCCACACCCTCTGCCCATGGGCCTAGGGTGCCCGATTCAGCCCAGGTCTTGGTCACTGCCTGAGCTATGTATAGGTGTATCTAGCTCCAGTTTGGTCTCTGGTTCTGTCTCCTGGATGGACTTTGGAGTCACGTTGTAGTCTTTTCTCCAGTCCTGTCTCTGACCCTTGTATTTTTTTGCTCCTGACTGGACTTTCTAGATGGACCCTGAAACTGCTGAAGGCCCCAGAGGTGAATGCAGTACTCCAGGTGAGATCTCATGAGAGCAAAGCAGAGGAGCAGCATCACCTCCCTTGACCCTGTGGTCATGCTTCTTTTGATGCAGCCCAGTATACGGTTGGCTTTATGGGCTGTGAGTGCACATTGCCAGCTCACAGGTAAGTTTTCATCCACCAACACCCCCAAGTCCTTCTCTGCAAGGCGGTTCTCAATGTGCTCATTCCCCAGCCTGTACAGATACTGGTAATTGCATTTGGCCTTCTTGAACCTCATGAGGCTCATATGGACCCATTCTTCAAGTCTGTCAAGGTCCCTCTGTATTGTACCCCTTCTCTCTAGTGAATCAACTGCACCACTCGGCGTCTCTTGCAAACTTGCAATGGGACTCTAAGTTGATTATCCTGTTGAGCTGTACAAACAGTCCTAGAAAAGGTTTTGACTAGTTAAACTAGCACTTTTCCAAATGATTTGTAGGCATGGAAATACCCAGAAATTAGCATTAAACTAAGATAATTCACAGCTGGCACTTTTTCAGGAGGCATTTTGCATTATTCTAGTTGGTCTCAGTGCCAGAGAGTGATTTGAGTATGTTTCATTTGCTGCTAGTTTTGTTGACTACTTGTATCTATTTGACTCAAATTCTCCATATGCTTACGTGTTTACATAGATTTTTCCTTAGAAATCAACTGAGTATATTTGAACAAAGACACAATAAGGTAGTGACCTTGATCAAGAACGGTGTCTGAACAGACTCATGAATCTTCAGGGACAATGAATTAAATTCTCTCCAAGGCACATTTTAGAAATCATTCTCCCTCCAGCTTTGAATGTCATATGATAGACCTGTTTAGTTTGGTTCCGTACAGAGACAATGACACCAGCACCATGCCTTCCAAGCCTTACTACAGAATTTAGTGGGTAACCATTTCGACAGTAGAATTTAATGCGTTTTACTGTATTTTTAGAAGCTGCAGCTGAAATCAGACTGACAAGATATAACAAGATAGATACACACATGACAGTGAGTCAGAACAGTTTGAGAAGACAATTTTAAGGTAAATATTTTTAATTTCCTTTTAGCAGACAGATTTTGTCTTCTACTAATAAGCAAAATACTCATTTGTTTCATAAGCATATTGTAATTATGTTAATCATGGTTACAAGGTTTACCAGTGGAACTATAAGCATCTAACAACATGTTCTACAATGACAAAAAAAGGAGATGCTTTTTCTAGATTTTTACTGTTGACCTACTGATTCACATTCAAATTACTAAATTATTTATAAATTTTCCAGTCATTCTAGTCAGAATTATTTTTAATTGTATACATTACTTTGTAGAGGGGTATGCAGTAGCATTTTGCTGGATTATTCTTTGTCATTGCAGTACAAAGTCTGTCTTGGTGAAGAAGAGGAAATAGATAATCTTTTCTATAAATTAAATAAATCCATGTCAGGGAAAGTTTTTTGATTTCTGTCATCATAATAATCAAAATAATAAAAGACAAAAGCAAGCAGGAGATGTGTTTACTCTGTTCTGGATTTAGTGTATCCATTATTTTCTACTCAAAGGTATCTCAACAGATTGGAAGGACAGACTGGCAGGAAGTCCACAAAGCTTAGCAAAGGCAAATGCATGTTTCTATGCCTGGAATGGAATAACCCCCTTGCAAGAGCAAAGGCTTGGACATGACTGACTAGAAAACAGCTTTGTGTGAAAGTATCTGGGGGTCCTGGTGGACAACAAATTAAACGTAAATCTGCAATGTGTTCTTACATTTATGAAGGATAACTATGTGCTATGCTTTAAATAAACAGGGGAGTTCAGGGGATTGGTTATTCAGGGGGAGTGGTTATTTCTGATTCAGAGGGAGTGGTTATTTCCCTCTGTGTAACATTTATGAGGTTGCATCAGTATCCAGCTGTAGTCTCCCTTGTACATGAAAGCCACTAACCACATGGTGCAGATAGCTATTGAGATGACTGGGGACCAGAGCACAGGATATATGAGGAGATGATGAGAAAGCTGGGTTTGTTCAAGCTGGAAATTAAGTGTTCTACTACACAGTAAGTGGTTATAGAGAACTTTGATCCACACTGTTCTTGGTGGTGCACAGAAAAGAATGAGAGCAGCAGAAGCAAGCTAGAGCAAAGCAAAAATTTAATTAGATGTAAAGTAATAATTTTCATAATAAGGATGGTCAAACGATGGACCACAGTGCCCAGAGAAACTGTACAAACTCTGTTCTTGGAGATAAACATTCATACTTAACAAAGTTCTCGGCAACCTGATCTAACTTCGGATTTGGGTCTAACCATTAAATGCTCTTAGCAGGAGTTTGGACCTCATTCCGTCTGAAGCAGCCTTCCAACCTTAGCTGTTCCATGAAGCTGTTTAATATCTTCATCATTTACACAGGCAGTGGGATGGAGTGCATCCTCAGCAAGTCTGCAGATGATATCAAGCTGAGTGGTGGGGTTGATACACATGATGGACAGGATACCACCTATAGAGACCTTGACAAGCTTGAGCAGTGGGCCCATATGAACCTCATGAGGTTCAACAAGGCCAAGTGCAAGATCCTGCATCTCAGCTGGGGCAACCCCTGGTATCAGCACAGGTAGGGGAATGAACAGACTGAGAGTGGTGAAACACTGGAACAGGTTGCCTAGGTAAGTGGTAGATGCCCTATGCCTGGAAACATTCAAGGTCAGGTTGGATGGGGCTCTGAGCAACATGATCTAGTTGAAAACGTCCCTGTTCACTGCAGGCGGGTTGGACTAGATGACCTTTAGAGGTCCTTTCTAACCCAAATGACTTTATGATTCTGTAAATCTATGCTTCTGTAAATGAATGTGAGCTATTCCAAGGTTATTGTTTTCTAGACTTCATATTTATTTCTGTTTTAGCAAAATAGTCACTAAAGATTTTTAAAATGTTTAATGAACCTAGATTTTCCCTGAAGGGACATAGCTGTTTAATTTATTTATTTCTTCTTGGGAAGAGACAGCTTTAAACCTCCGCTTGAGGAGACTAATGCTGATTTAATGGTATAGCTCAGTAAAAATATGTGCACGGGAAAAAGCTTTCAAGTCAGAATGATGTCACAAAGGTTCCAGCTATTCATGGGAGTAACCTGGGACTTTCTCCATTGCTAAGGCAGAGTAATGATAACTGAGCAGCAGCATTGTTAGAATTAGTATGTAAGTGTAGTTGAGCAAATCCTTTTCCTCATTCCTACAATTTAGGATGTCCTACAAAAGAAACTATCAAAAGCACATAGTAAATTAATATCTCACATATATGGTTGCTTTAGATTAGAAATACAGCTCTTCAGAACCTTACAGGACAGGAGGGACTTCAAAAGAGATGGAATATGGCACACGGAAATGTTAAGTCAAGATGTCAGAGAAAAAAACCCACAAATTTTTAAATAGAATTTACTCACTTAACATCCTCTTTCCCATCTTTTTGCTCTTTTTGCTGTTCCTGTTGAGTTGTCTTAGCTGGTTCAGCAGAGTTTTCAGTTTTTGAAGGCTCAGGTGCTTTTGCTGGTACTGTATCTAGAAAAAAGGTTTTAGTTTTTTAATAACAATTTTTAAAGAATTATTTTGATATTTTTTTGGAGGAATCACAGGTTGGCTGACATTATTTCTTTAGTGGACAAGAGCTGCACAACGTTGATTCTGGGACCTAGCCTTTGAATACTTTCCTTTAAACGTGTATTACAGTGCCAGCTGTCCAGAACATGGTTATGATGACAGTACCTTTTAGAATATGTAAGTCATTTTTGGTTTTTAAACTAGATGCATCTGTAGCCAGGTCAACAATGGTCAATACAGAGCTCTTCTATAAGTGACAAGAACTCATGCAGTATGATGAATTCTAGTGTGTGCTTATTTAAAAAAAATTACAGAAAGGACAGAAAGGTAGATAGACCTGTACAGAAATGCCTTGTAAAATCCAGGAAGAAAAATGAAGAGTAACATATCTGATTATGCATAGAAATGCTAATGACATTTATAATGCAGTGTTCGAATTATGTTAAACCTCTTGTTGTTTCAGCTGCCATGACAGTCCTGTTTGCTCCTGAGTAAATTTTAATTGAAGTATATCATTAAGGTTGTGAGTACGTAGAACATTGGGTAGTCAATTATTTCATTTTTGTTGCAAGTACTTTTTAGAAGCTCTGTAAGTGGGAAGTTTGCAGTTTGAAACTATGTAAATGGTATAGTCTCTTGTCATTTTAATGGCCTGAAGTGATTATTTTTTATAATTAGTCATATCTTTATTCTAAATTTTCATGCTGAAAAATCATTTGAAAGCTCTCATCAGTCTGACACTTTGGATAAAGGAGGGACAAACTCAGCCTTCATAAATACTTTAAGTAATATGATTATAGAGGTAAAAGCTTGGCAGAAAAACATCATAGCATATAAATCAGGAGCCTGTTCTGTACTTTAAACTCAAGACAGCTCAAAGAAAATAAAACCTTGAGAGGTTTTTGATAGGTAGTTTAAGAGTAGTTTTCTGGTAGTTTATCTCCATATTTAGAGAGTTTTTATTAATTTCAAAGGGCTAAAACCAGTTACAACAGTAAACTGTTAAGCTGCTTACAAGGAAAGTGGTTACTTGAAATGGCATTGGAACAAAAGTAAGTGAAGGACAGTGGATCAGTTTGCTTACAGCACTTGATAAACCAAACTACACTCCTACTACTGTTCATTCATATTTGTGTTAATATTTTCTTTCAAGTATCTATTAAGAACGACACAGTGTTTCTTGAGCTGAGTTTCTGACTTGTACCAGGTGAACAATTTGATTTTAGGACCAGTGGAGCACTTCTAGATTTTTTTCCTTAGTGAGAAAACATTCTAGATTTTTTTTCTTAGTAAGGTTAAGAATTGTGTGAACCCTAGTACTCTTACAGGAATCCATTTCTTAAAGAGGATCACAGACAAGACCTAGACAGAGTTATCTGTGAATGCCAGAAATAGTCAACCCAGAGCTGGACAAGGAACTGAAGAGAAGGTGGAGAAATTCATGCTCCCCAATGTGCTGGTCAACTGGGGTTTGACTTTGCAAGTTCAGGGTTTAATTTTCAAACAGCCCCTTGGAGAAACTGAGTACTAAGAGACAGTGCGTGGGATTTGTATTACTTACCACCTGTAAGCTGGAGGGATTTTTGCCTCCCAAAGGTGTTCTTGAGCTATGTACATAAATATTTGAAAGATGGCTTTAGATTCATGAAGATGCCAAGAGAAATAAACACACATGAAATCTATGGATGAAGGAGAGAAGAGGCTTCAGTTCTGACACTACAAAATACAAACTTCAGTGACTTTCCAAGAAATGTTTTTTTGAACAAATGTTCTGTGCAGGGGAAAACAGAAATTAGTGGGGTAGAAGTAAAATAATCAGTAAGTATGTCCATCTTAACCCCCAGCTTCAGTTGCTAACAAAAGTATTATAAATTTATTTTCCATGTAAAGAAAAAAAGATGGTATGAAGAAGCTGGATCTGTTTTTCTAGAATTTAGCCCTTTCACTCATGTGAAAAATGAAGATCTGAAATGAATTAAAAGGCTTCACATCAGAAGGAGTAGAAGCAAGCTGATTAAACAGATTCTAGCTCTTGGTAATTTTATGCCCGTTGACTGAGTGCCAGTGAATAGTATAAAGGACAAGAAGACAAGGAGTAAGATTATTATTTGAAAGTCTCTTTGCATTGACAGGTTTAGTTCATTAAGCTGAAGCATATTATGTCAAAATGCTGTACTTGATTTGTATTTTTAAAACACAAAGCAGTTATTTAAGCAGTGATTTTCAGGTACTATGGGAAAAGTTTTGTAAAGCATATTAAGAGTCAGATTTAAAACAAGCCAAAGATACATTTTAGCTTGAAATTTAACATTTAATGTAAATGCTCCTCTCTCTGTATCCTGGGTTGCATCAAAAGGAGTGTGACCAGCAGGTCAAGGAGGTGATTCTGCCCCTTTGCTCTCTTGCGAGACCCCATGTGGAGTACTGTGTTCAGCTCAGGCACCCACCACCTTAGAAGGATGTGGACCTGTTGGAGCAAGTCCAGAGTGGGGCTTTGAAGATGATCAGAGAGCTGGAACACCTGCCCTGTGAAGACAGGCTAAGAGAGCAGGGCTTGTTCAGCTTGGAGAAGAAAAGGCTGTGGGGAGACCTTAGAGCAGCTTCCAGTTACTGAAGGGTGCCTACAAGAAATCTGGAGAGGACCTTTTTACAAGCACTAGGGATAGAAGGGGGGAATGGCTTTAACCTGGAAGAGGGTAGGTTTAGATTAAATATTAGAAAGAAATTCTTTCTGTGAGGGTGGAGACATCGGAACAGGTTGACCAGAGAAGTTGTATCTGCCCCATCACTGAAAGTGCTCAAGGCCAGGCTGGATGGGGCTTGGAGCAACTTGGTCTAGTGGAATGTGTCCCTGCTCATGGCAGAGGAGTTGGAAGTAGATGACACAAACCATTCTATCTACCTATGATTGTCAGGAGCTTATAACTTGGTCATAGTCCATGTAGAGTTAGTACCTTATTAGCAGGGGTTTTACAGCAACAGAGGGTTTGTACCTTTAATAAATATATCTGCTTTATTTGTATCTACAGGAGGACCGAGTGACTATCTTTTACATAGAAGCTACTGATTAAAGCTTTCCTCTGAGAAGAGGAAATCTTGACTCTGGGCCTTATTTACTTTCAATAGAGTCAAATTTTCATTCTGAGAATTATTTTTTGTTTTCATTTCAACAATGTTATAATATAAATACATACTGAAATTAAAGTTCTTCATTCTACCTATAAGGTTAGTGTTACAATTAACTTCTAGGTTAGTTCCAGGCTCTGTGTTATATTTTATCTTTCCAGATTTCAAAGGTTTTTGCATTCTTTTCTGCACCCTGGCCCAGCAACTGGGAAGACCACAGAATTTCCTCCCACATCTCTCTAGTCTAGATTTTATGTGGGTAGCTAGGGAACCCTACTGGAATATGAAAGATATGGATTTGAACTCCCTTATTATGCAAGTGTGGAGGCAAAACAGCTATGCTAATGTATAAAAGGTGGCAACTTTCAGTAGCTTCTGCTACTTTTCTTCTTTTTGTTGGTGAAACATTTAGTGGAAAAAAAGAATATCCCTTGAGTACCAAAATAAAAAAGTACTCACTGGGAGAGAGTCTGGAATGGACTTAAGTTTCTTTTGAGCATCTCTTCCTTTGAGGTGCTACATGTTCAGGGGTGTCAATTAAAGTTCTCAGTTAATTGGTTGTTTTGGTTTTTTTTTCTGGTGTGGTTTTCTTATTGTTGTTATTTTTTGTTTTGTTTTTGGTTTTTTTTTCTTTTCCTTTTTTTTTTTTTTTTACTCTGTCTGGGTTTCTCTTAGGATATAGATTTTGTGACTATAAAAAGCACTAAAATCTCACACATTTTAGAATGGCACTTGCATATAAGTTGTAGGCATGTATATAACATGTTATCTTTCTTCTGGGTACTTTCCAAAGCATCTAGGCTCTGAAGATAATAAATATCACTGGGGATTAACATGGTAATCTCCCAAATGGAAGGTTCTGTCTACTTTATGATCCAAAGGTGCAACTGTAGCACATATAAAGAAAAAATTATAGCCTTAGTCTAGATTTTTCACTCAAATCCTACCAAGAACAAAGCGATGTCAATATGAACTTTATTAAAAGGTGCATAAATATGTCTTTGAATCTTTGAGACACTTGTTGATTTAGTATAAGTAGGAAAACCAAACCCCAGAACGCTGGAGACAGGCCAGTTTCTAGTGAGGGAAAAGGATGGAGATGAGGACAGACTTCAGAAGAGCAGTACTTAACTATGGTGCTGAGAGGATTTAGAGAAAGAGAAAGAAAAGGGATGAATTGGAAAGAATCATACTGAAAGGATCTGCTAGGAGGACAAAATAAGTTGTGATACAGAGAATGATAATACAGACACCAGTTAGCAGGTGGAGTCTTGATGTGACCTTCTAAATAGCATAACCATAACCCTAACAGTGACATTTATATAGCCAGTTATAGCAAGTGATAAACATGCAAAGAAATTATAGCAATTGGATTCAATATCACAGAGAACCTGTAATTAGGTGAATCACACTTTGCGATGTACATCAGAAGATTCAGGGAACAAATAATAAAAAAGTAATTATCCATTATGGAAAAACTGACTAAGGGATGAGAATTAATTACAGAGTGAGCTACTGAGAGTGGGCACCTGAGGAGGTGGGCATGAGGAAATGAGTAGCCAGCAAAGAAGCCAAAAGTACCAGGTGTTGCTGAGTGATGTTAAGTGGCCAAGTTTTAACCAAATGGGCTCCAATTGTGCCTCCTGCTGAGTTCTAATCTGTGCTGAGAACATCATGCTGCCTTGTTAAGTGCTAGGAGAAAGGAAGAAGGTGATGACTAGTTTTGGCCATGTGAGAAGGAGTGTTGAGTTAAGCTGTACTGTTGACTTGTTTTTCAAGTTTACAGAGCTGCAAACTACAACTGTGATTAGGGGCTTTACTCTTCACTAATCTATTTTATTCTGGTTATACCAGAGAAGCTAATAGATCTTGAAAAGGCTTTTCTCTAACTGGTTTTGAGTTTTCCATTTAAATGATCTCTCTTAACTTGTGCTGGATGAGCCTTGGTTGTGTTTTTATGTATGTACACAACAAGATGCTTTCTCCTGTCTCCTGTCCTTTGCTTACCCACAGTTATTCCTATTTTCATTTTCTAACTGCTGTCCAGTGATTTAGGTCTGATGCAAAGTTCACCAAGTTTTGCAATAGTCTTTGTCTAGACCTTCCTGTGAACTGCTTCAAACTTGCCTCACTTTTCTGCCGAGAATAAGAAACTGATGTTGTTCCTCATCCAGCTTGGATGGTAAAGACTTAAGGACAGGGTGCTGGAATTCAGATGCTTCTCCTGAGGAGAGGACCCTATGCTAGTTTTCTGGCTTGTATAGCTGTTATCTTTCTAATTTATTAATACCCACATGCAAAATGAGAAGCTATCTTGTGCCTGATTGGAAATGAGACTTGAAGCACCTTCCAGGACACCATGGATTTAAAAAAACCCCAAACAAACATGTAGCTGAAGTATGTTCTTATATTTTCCTAAAGTAATTGATGAGGTAGTTCTATGCCACCACTTATTTTATATTTCAGTGGGAAAAAAATAAATTAGTATTACAAAACATAGATCCATGGATTACATTAATCTCTAAAATTAGATCAGGTTTTGGCTGGAAGTAAAAGAAGTTTTGATAATGGCACTTTGTTCTGTTGTGGGATAGCATCTCTGATTTAATATTGCTAAAGAAGCCATGAAACTTCAGATATATTTTTTTTCCTTTGTTACCTTATTGCTACAGTTAATTCATGTCAGACTTTGTTTACTCTTCTTTACTGCTACAGACATTATCTAACAAGAAAATTTCATTAAATGGACTCTGTTTAAAGTTTCATTAGATAAGGAAAGGAACTGTGATTCTTGTTGTGATTACACGAAGCACAAGTAAGGATTATGTAAATTTCCTTGCAACATTTTCCTACTTGCTCCTCTCCACAGAAAGCCAGACATTTCTCTGCCTTTGTTTTGCTGTTCCAGTGAAATTAAGCTGAATTGTTCTCCCAAAGGAAAAATAAGAGGTGACAGGAAAACTGGACTTGGTGGTTTTGTCCAGTACTAGAAGATGGAAAAGGGCTAGAGTGCCCTCTGTGAAGGAAGAGAGAACATGGCCCAGCAACTGATGTTTCACCCATCCTGGGCTTTTACTTTGGTAGCTGCTGCAGCAGGCATTCTGGCTCTAGTATGGGCAAAATCAGATTGGCTCTTGGGAGGCAGGGGAAGAGGGGCCGTGGCTGTGGCCAGCTGCCACTGTATTCAACAACCAGCTGCTTAGGCAAATAATTACCTTGTATTGCTGCCCTGAGCTCTATGTTCCTGTGTCCTAGCCCTGGATGTCTTCTGAATGGTGATGGCAAATAATTTTTAATGTCATTGCTTTTTTTTTCAGTTGTTTTTTTTGAAGAAGTTTTGAATGGCTGTTCAACCGAAGATTTGAATGTCAGATAAAGTCAGTCTTGTCTTTGTAGTTTTTTGATGCATACGAGAAATACATTCAAAAGAAACATTAAAAACATGAAGTTTTCTGTCTTCAGCTACTAAATGCCTTTATTTTATAATAAGGTTTCTAAGACGTCAACTTACAGTAAGAAGAAACAGGTTTTCTTAGACTATCTGATTAAAGTGGACAAGCTCATGTGAAGGGACTGTGCTTTAAAGTTTTCTGCCTTTTATTATTGTTGGATTGTGCTTGTATTTCTGTAACAAATCATTGGTTTGGGGTCAGTGGGAATTCAGAATTCTTAATTTCTTCCACAAATAAAAACCAAAATTAGGCACCTGGCAGAAGATTTGGAAGAAAAAAAAAAAACATATTTACAATCCTATTTGGTGTTACATATATTTTGTCCAGATAATCTTTGAGTGTCCTCATAAATAGCTTGCTACTAACCTTGTTGCTGTGGTATGAGTTCTGTTTTCTTATTGGCCTCTGCTTTCTGTGGTTCAACTGTGGTTTTATTTTCACCCTTAAAAAAGATAAACAGCATTAGAAACTGTAGATGCTCTTTGCTGAGAATGATAAGGATGGTTTAATGTCTGCAATGTTCTAGGAATTTGATTAACCAATCTGACAGGCAATGAGCTTTGCTCCTGGGTGTTCTGTATATGTTCTTGGACAAAACTTTCCAGATAGGTTCACAAAAGGACTTGGATGATGAAATAAGAAACTGATGTCTTCACATCTGCTCTGCAAACCCAGTTACTTAGCTTGGAGTTCTGCCACAGTGTGCTCCCAGAGCCTCCTTCATGTTATCAAGGCTAATGTGTTCAGTGCTGCCACTTACAAACTGGTCTGCATCTCTGAATCAGTCATTCTTTTGCCTAAACCTCCTGCTGGACTAAGAGGCCTGGTATGTTTTGAGCTACCTTACCACACTGACAGATCTTGATCTTTAAAAAATATAGGGGTAGAATCGATTTTCACTGAAAAAACCCACCAAAAACTTCCTCCCACAATGGTTTAGATTCATGAACCAAGTCCTCATGTACAGTGGTTTGTCTTGGCTTTGACAGGATGGTCCTTTGAGAAGGGAGTGAGAAGTGTATGAGGAATCTTAGGTGTTCATAGTACTATGAAACAACATGCTGTTGATCAAGACTGTAAGCCTTTTATGAAACAACATGCTGTTGATCAAGACTGTAAGCCTTTTATTATCCCAGGTAGAATGAATTTGCCTGGTGTAATTGTGTTGATTAGTAGAGAAAAATATTAGAAAGTATAAGCATATGGAAAAATATTTGACTTCGGAAGACTTCAGCTCTTCTTTTCCCCTCTCCCTCTCCAAATTCAGTGACCTTCTCTTTGAGTCTCTGAGATTAATTTGGGGGTTGCCTTTTCTATGAAAGTATTTGTTTTTTCCTGTCTGCTTTTATGTGTTATGTAAACTTCTTCTTTTCTCTTTAGATGGTATCTTCTTGCAGGCAGAAAATCTCTTAATCCTTGACCCGTTCATCTGCCTCCATTTTAACAGTATGTAATAGGGGAGGCTGCTGCTGATATGATCTTAGTGTTGCACTAATCTATGGAATTATTCTGGTGAAAGAAGGAGTCCATGTCTCCAGTTTTCCAAGTGAGGTATCAGGCTGCACAGAAATTAACTGTTGAGATTCAGAACTTTTACTTTTTCAAGACAATGTTTTGTTGACATCAGAAAACTGATGTGCAGAAATGTAAAAGAAGCACAAACAATACTTTGCCTGCAGATCTGTGGTATGAGAAGCTTGCTGAACATAGGTATTTTGCCATTTTGTGTTGACAGTGCTATGCATATATCTATCCACAAAACGATCATTTTTTGCGTGTTTATAATGAATCAAATTTGAATTGTAGTTGGGCTGGATGAAAATGTGCCTCTTCCTGGGTTTATACAAGCCTTTGAGCTTCAGAAAAGCATCAGTTCTAGGAAATGATTCAGACTTACGAATATTCATGGTGTTATCACTTTAAGTAAAACTATAAAATTTATGGCATTTTTGTACATGTAGTTCAAGGCTTCCAGAAGTTAAGTAAGAGTCTTTCTATATGCCCGACTCTTGTGGAAGTGTGAAAAGGCACTGCTTATTTAAAATTAACTTTACAATGCTGGAATTTCAATTGTTTCCTTAAGCAAGAATTCAGATTAATAGCTCAGACTGATAGTAAAGAACCCATTTAATTGGTTAACCAGTTAACTGGTGAAACCCAAAATTGTTGCCAGTTTGCCTTGCGAAGTTTTGATTCTGTCAAGCAAGAATAAAACAAAACACCGTCTAGGATGTTATTGGGAAAAGATAACAATTCAAAAGTAACATAATCTCATTATAAAATATTCCATTAATTAAAACAAAAATAATGAGCTAACTTTTACAGTAAAGAACTACCAGATAAAAAATATAGGCTCTAGACTAATACAAATTACTGTATTTTTTTAAAATAGGAATTACATTTGTAAAACCAAGTCAAATAAAATACTACCTAGAAAAGCTACAAAACTACTTTGCCTTTCCAGCACTTACTGGGAAGCAGGCTGATTTATATGTGTATGCCATTCCAATATTCAGAAGCGATATACTGACATTTCCTGCCAGCAAGGAACAAGATGAACTGGAATACATCAGCACATCAAAAGCAGTCATACCAGTATTTCTAATTTGCCATTTGCAATGTTGATGAACGCCTCTCATAAGCTTGTACTATTTCAGGTTAGCCCTATTTGTAAAGCAGTTTACAAAAGGAGGAAATCTTTGCTTTCTTCAGAAAGAAAAGGTGGGAGGGAAGAGAAGAATAAAAGCATTTATTTTGCTTTTGATTCTGTGCACAGTAAGAATGCTTGAAAATCTACATCATTTGTTTACATAAATATCCTGGCATTATAATAATGCCATATACATAAATAATCTTTGGCATTTACATAAATACTTCCTAAACAAAAGGTAAGCAATAAAAAGCTATACCTGGCCTGTAGATACCTGGGGTTGTGGAGAGACACCTTCATTCTTGCAAACTGCTTCCTCAGGTGATAATTTTGCTCTAGAAAATACTGCTTTTAGATTTTTAAACATCTTGTCTGTTCAGCTCTCCTGAAGCCTCTGTAACTCTTTTGCCATGAACTTGTATATAGCATTTGTTTTCTTGCCATCAAGCCAATTAGACACTTAATCAGATTTAGGTCTGATTAATGCCTTAAAGAAATTCCTTGCACAGCCTGTTTCAGTGATGGCTTTTTCTTACCTTAGTACTTTCGGTTTATGTTGTAGACTAAGTTATTTCTAATCTTGACAGTTACAATCAACTTTTAATGCACAAATTCAGAGGAGAGTGAACATGTTCTGGTTAGAATAAATAAGTGTCTGACCTTTTATGTACTGGATATTGAACATTTAATTTATGCTTAGAAATGAAGTTTAAATCCTAAAAACACCTGTATTTTAACCAGGAAAGGAAAAACACTAATTGAGCAATAATCAGCAGCAACTAAGTAAATTACATGAGATCTCAAGAGGTTTAATTTCCTTGCAGTCCTGAACTAATTTTTATTTTTTATTTTTTATTTCCTGAGTGCATGATACTAAAAGCTCTGTTGTTGTTTATGTTAACAAGTTTATAGCTTGTTTTATTCCACTCTTCTTATTTTAAAATGTGGAAATAATTTCATCTTTCTTTTTCCAATGTATTTACAGAAAATACTATTTTATGTAGAGTCTTAGCTACAATTTTTATGAAATCAAGTTTTGACTGAATGTCCTACAAATGAGGAAAAGATAAGTTTTTATAGTGTTTATAACTAACACATGATTTTGAGAGTCTGTAGGCTTTGTCTCCTCCTATAGAAATCTCTATTAAATCAAGCATGGTTTAGTTTACAGGTAAAACTCAATTTCAGATACCTGTTGTCACATTGATTCAGCTCCTCTTAAGAAGGATCTTTACAACTTTATTGTCTCTTTTCCTTAATTCCACTTTTTTTTTTTACAAGTCTATGCCTTCACTTTAAGCAATGAATTTGTGCTAACAACTTATAATTGATTTGTCCTGGTCATCAAGGCATCAAGAAATGCAGAAACCTATTCCTTTGAGTTGTTTCCATAGCTATGTATTTAGCAATTAGACTGAAGTATTGAAAATGTCCCAATGTCTGCCTCCTTGGGGCTCCTGTTGTCTGGCAAGGTGGTTTTTAATATTTATTCTAGTGCAGTAGTAACTGTAAGAATAAAACAATAATTTTCATTAGTTAATGCAGGTAAAAGACTTGCAAACTGACACTTATGAGACAGACCTTAAAGTAGTTGGCCAGACTTCAGTCTTGCAACTGGGAAACACAGGCATAATTTCATAACTGTTAGATGCAGCAAAAGCATGGAATCTCCCTTTGTTATTAAAGTCTGTGTTCTGTTTTACTTTAAAGGCAATGCAGTTCTTACTAATGCTTCAGTCTGCGCTTAAGCTTAGTGTTTGAATGATTAAGTCATAAATGAATACCTAAAATATTTTCATTTATAAAATATTTGCAGGTCTGGAAAATAAAATATGTAGCTTCTTTTCTGTTGGATGTGAAATTATGTCTCTGTGTTCTTTTTAAATTCTGGCTCATTACAGAAGAATCTCAAAAGATATGCTAGAAAACAGTTATTCTTTTACTATGTGAAATTTTAGTGGATTAAATTGGCTAATTGATCGCCAGATACAAACTATAACCTGCAGACTGAGCCTTTTTGAGTGCAATTATCTTCTCATTATAAAAGAAGTTCTTCATTATTGAAAGTTCTTTGAATAGGTAATTTTATTTCTTTTAAAAGATGCCGAACAACAACATGGTTTATTATAGTATATTTATGCTGGTATTAACTTATAATTAAAAGGCATGCAAAAATAAAGTAGTGGACATTAAAAGAAAAATACCTTTGGGAAAATATAAAATAGCTATTGACATTCCCAGTTAATGAATGTTATATTGGTTTAGTCTGTGACTAATTAAATCAATGTTTAAAGTCCCTTAATATATTGGGATTTTGTAAATAATAAGCAGACTACAACAAACTTAATATTTTAATACCACTGGAGGTATAAGTTCACCTCCTGACCCTGGTAAGATGATTCATCTGCTTCAATATTTCGTCTTCCGTCTACTATGGCTACTTAGCTATTTTTATCAGGCTCTGAATATGCTAAAAGCACTTCAGTTAATTGGCTATCATGATTCACTGTTAAGTAAGAAGATTAAGAGTGCAGCAGCAAAGCAGATAGCCTGTAATCAGTTAGCTTCTTAGCTATGTTGGTTTGACCAGTGCTTACTATATGCTGCATTTATGGTCAACCCTACAGGGTACAGGAATTTCAAGCCTGTCTTGTATATTCTGTAGATATAGGGGGAGTAATTTATTAATAATGCACACCCTTTTCCACATTTTTTTCCTTCAAGGAAATGTTGTTCCTTCATTTAAAAATTTGGCATATGCATCAACTTTCCAAACTTCTGATAACTTTTTCTTTGAGGGATTTTTATTTTTTAATCTAAAAATAAATTTGAAATAAAGGCACTCACAGACTGAATCTTATATTCTAAACTTGCACAAGAGATTATTCTCCATGAAACAGCAGGTGTCTTTGAAACCCAGGTAATTCAAATGCCATGTGGCACTTGATTTGCAATAAATGCTAAAGCAATCGGCAGGACTCTTTTCTATCACCCCATTTGAAGCAGTATTAGTGCAGAACTTCTTAAATCATAAGAATATACAAAAGAAAGCATGACTCTTTTTTTTCTGAATAATTAGGATAGTTGCTGATGAGAAGAGATTCCTTTCTTCAAGACTGTTCTTGGAGGTGTTTATTGTTGGACTTTTTTTCTTTTTTGTTCCTCCTGGTATTTAATAAGCATGGAGTGTGAATTCCAAGGACTGCTTTGCATTCCTCATCAGGCAGTGTCAGTTTCTCTATTTGTTTGAGCCTACAGACCAATAGATACCATCTCAAGTTTTTATTTTTGTATTAAATCAGGTGTAGCATATTAAAAGACTAAAGCCTGAGCTTCACTTCTATTCAGGTCTTCCCACAATACAAAACATAATGTGCGGGTGTTTTTCACAGGTATCTGCCTTCAGTTTATCTGCATGATTCAAGGATCTTGACAACTAAGAATAGTACTTCTTTCCTTAGGGCTCTGTAATAGTAGACAGAATCTGAATCTAGCACTTTTTTCCTCTGAACAGTGTAAGATTTGCCAATTTTGCTATTTTTTATAGATTAAAGAAACTCATAGGACTAATTTATCTGACTTACCTGTCTTCCTTAATTCTGAGGGCTTTGTTAAAAGACTTTTTTTTTTTCTTTTCTTCTTCTCCTCAGATAAAAATGGTTCTGGAGGTCAGATTTCTCATACCTGCTAATTGTCTCGGGTTTTTTTAAACTTAGATGATACTATTATTTAACTAACAATGCCTTAATAAAGAAAATTAATTCACGCTTTTAATGGAAATTTGTCTCTTTAAATATATTACCACATTCATGACCAAAAGTAATTGTAGTATTCACTCAGGTGTCTTCAGGAAAAACAAAGGTTACTTAAAAGAAGACTTTTTGCTGTTTCAGTTAGTTATATACTTATAACAATACTTCATATAGTTATATACTAATTTTGTTCTGATTCATAAGGCTTTTCTTATGTAGCAGTTTATACACTGGTACGTAGGTACTGCAATCGGTCTCTGCATCTTAAGTGAGGCATGATAGGTTGTATGGTCTGGAGTAATCTGGAAATATACAATAATGGTGATTTGACCTTCAAGGAATGCAGACTCTATTTTTCCCTTTCAAATTCAGTTTTATATAACAAATCAAATTAACAGGATTTGTTCTGCTTACAAGAAAAGAAAAGATGGGAACTCTTCTGTGGCAAGAGGTTGGAAACGACAGGATGCTGGTACTTCCTGCTCCTTTTCACATTCCTCTACATGAAATTACTTAGTTAAGGTAGGAGCCATATCCTAAAGACTCATTTTCTGGAGCCTTCACCAAATCCTGGCTAGCTCTGAGTGTGATACTATCATCATGCTATAATGTGATGGGTGGGTTGGAGGAGGTGACAAAATTGACTGTCAGCCTGCCAAAACTATGTTGAGTGATACCACCTCTCGCTTGTGACCTCTTTTGATGAAAGTAACATGTGAATCAAATGAATAGGGCATAAGATAGAAGAAAAATGTAAGACCACTTATGTTTAATTATGCTATTGGTCTGAATGCATAAAAAAAGGTGAAGAAAATTTCTTGTCTGCCAATAAAGTACACATCCCTTAGTATGTCTGGCTTTTTGCTTCTTTTTTTTCTTCTCAAAACAAAAATGGCACCAGATGTATAAGTGTCCTTATGGGCAGAATTTCCTTAGTAGCAGTATGTTACTACTTAAAATGTGACTCATCACATGAGAAAGCTTTATCAACTAGGGTAGTGCTTCAAAGTCTCTCTCTCACTTAAATAATATTCCAAAATGAGTTTGTGGATCAAGGGATAAAAAGGAACAGTCCTTTAGAAAGTGGTCATGAGACCTACCTCGAAGAGCTGCAGCCATGGGCTAGGTCACTGAAAGAATTAGACCTCCTGCAGCCCTCCTGTAAGACCACATATCTCAAATTGGCAACCTAGGGTCACCTCACTGCCTTGGTAACAGTACTGGTTTGGAATGTGCAAAACTTCATTCTCAGAAGCAAACAACTTAAAAAGCAGTGCTCTTGTGACAAATGTAGTCATTTAGTAATACTATTGATGTCATAGTCCCCTTTCTCTTCCCATTTTTCATGCATCTCCATGGAGAAGAAGAAATTACAATAGAAGAGAATAGATTCTTTGCCACATCCTTTAGATGGAAATCACTTGTATGTGGTCTCCTTGATATTTTCCAGGCGAAGCCCTCTGTGTGTGAGCCACTTCTAGGAAGACTGGGGTTGTTCAAAATAGAAAGTACAAGTTCTTGTCTTTCATAAAATGTGACATGAACTCAAACATCATCTGTACTGTTATGTACTGAAGCTATTCACAGTAGGGAAGTTGACAAGGGCTCCTCTGCTGAACACCTTCAGTAGGAAACCCTGTGAAGATAGTGGGGGCAGACAACCCTTCCCTTTGAAAAGGCTGACTAATTTGTTGGAACCTATATTTCAGTGTGGAGCTGAATGGGTTTACAATGTACCA